CTCTGGCCCCCAGCCCTCCCCTCCCCCCTCTTGTGGGAGTGGGGGGGGCCCTCGGACCCCGGGGCCTCACCACCCAGGCTTTGGTGCTGAAGCTGGTCTTGCCGTGGGGCTCGAACATCCAGCCGTGGTAGGAGAGCAGCAGCTTCAACATCTGGCGGCGCAGCCAGATGCCCAGGATCCAGACGCCCGTGGAGAAGAGCAGGGCGCTGAGCAGGGTCTGCTGGCGGAGGCTGAAGTAGCAGCTGCAGCTGGGGGGACACCGGCCGGGGAGAGAGTTTCTGGGGCGGGCAGGGCAGGCCAGTGGCTGGAGGGGGGGTCTTCCCCTCAGCCGCGGCATGCAAAGGGGGGGGGGGGGGGGGGGGGCGCCGGCCGGGGGGGGGGGGGGGGCCCGCGAGGGGGGGGGGGGGGGGGGGGGGGGGGGGGGGCGCAGGATAGCCACCTGTCGGGGAGGGTGTAGGAGCATGCAATATGCAGGTGGGGTGGGCTTGATGACCTGGGCCCTGCTGTCCCAGGAAAGGAGGGGGAGGAGGTCCACGCTCAGAGGTCCAGAAGGGAGGAAGCCGGGTCCTTGAGGGAGGGGCAAGGCCCTGGGCTGCCTCTGGGAGTTCCCCTGCCCCCCTGGGCCCCCCACAACACCCCCCAAACGCTGCATGGAACTGTGGAGAGGGTGGGATGGCAGCTGCAGGACCCCAGGTCTCCCTAGGAGCCCCCTTGCAAAGGTCAGGAGAGCAGGGAGCTTCCCTCGCCTGGTCCCTCTGGGAGGGGGGGGGAGGGGCCGGGCCTGGGGCTCACCTGGTGAGCAGGTGCCTCTGGATTCTGCTGATCGCCCCCCTGGAGAGGTCCACATGGACCCAGGTGCTGCCCATGGTGACGGCGGTGATGGCCAGCCAGCCGGAGGGGGAGCCGGGATACACTCCGGTCAGGAAGCTGTTCTGTGAAGTCGGCCCAGTCAGAGGGAGCCATTTGGAAGGACGGAGGACCCCCCCCCCGTGGCCCCCACTTAAGCCCCCCGTGGTCACCTGTGGAAACAGCGGGAGAGGAACCCCCAGGCAGGGGGCAACCCTGCCTGCCCCTCCTCTGCCCCGTAAAAGCCGGGCGAGCAACCACACAGTTGGGGTCCCTGGCAGAAGTGGGGTGGCCCCAGCCCCAGATGCCCGGCCTGCCAGGGAAGGGGGGGGGGCTCCCAGGAAGGCTGCCAGCCAAGGTCCGGCCCCTGCTCACCCTCAAGACCGAAACCCCAGGGCGTGGGGGGGGGCTGCCCCGATCTGGCCACAGCCCCCCCCCCCCCCGTGGCCCCCCCCCCCAGCTGACCTTGAGACGGATGAAGCGTTTCTTCCAGGAATGGAGGCCCGACAGGTAGATCTGCTTCAGGGCTTCCTGGCTCAGCCGGAAATCCACCCCCTCTGGGGTGACGGTGAACTGGAAGGCGACCGCCTGGTGGGCTTCCGCCATCTTGCCTGGGAGGGGGGATCGGGGGAGGGGTCTTCACCCGGCGGCTCCCAGGAGGCCCCCACAGCTTCCTACCTCCCCCCCTTTCCAGTCGCCTGGACCCTGGAAGGAAGGAAGTGCAGGACCTCCACACGCAGAGCCCTCAGAGCATGTGCAGAGTGTGGCCCTTCCGCACTGTGTGCTGTGGGGGCAAGGGGGGGGTCCCTGGGGGCAGGGACCCTGGCGCCAGACTCTGCTCTGCGGAAGGGAGCCAGAGTGTGGGGGGGGGGGGCGCCCCCTCCCCCCCCCCCCCAGCACTCTCCCCCCCCTCGGGGGCTGTTCTGCCTCTGAGGGGGAGGTAAGACCTCCTGGGGGGGAGGGCAAGGGGGCCCAGGAGAGCCCGAAACCGTCCACCCGGATGGCTGCCGGCACCACAAGGGTTTCCCCAGAAACCCTTTCTCACCACGGGGGGCCCCGTGTTCTCCCCCCTCGCTCCCCAAAGGGGAACCCCCTGGGGAAGGGGCTCTGCTGGAGACTCCCCCCCTTGCCACCCATGTGCCTCCCCCCTGGGCCACGTAGTTCCATGGGTCCCAGCTCAGGAGTCCATGTGGCTCTACGCCAGGGGCCCCTCCAGGGAGCCAGAAACCCCCCCATCCCGCTCACCTGGAAAGGTGGGTTTAGGTTCAGTGTCAGTTTCTGCTGCCTTGCGGGGGGGGGGGCTTCCTCCTCTCTCTCCTTTGTGCCCCTAGACCTGTGGGGACCACCAGGGTCAAGGTTGCCAGGAGGGTCTGGGGGCAAAGCCTCCCTCAGCCCCCTCCCTGCCAGCTGACCTGCAGCCCCCCCCCCCCCCTCCTCCCCAGACCCGCCGCTGGCACCAGGCACAGGGTGGGTGGTGCCCTCCACCCACAGCTGGAGGGAGGGGGAGGCCCAGCTGGGAGGGAGAAGGGCCCCTGTGGACAGAGAGCAGCCCCCCCTTCCCAAGGGCTGCAGAACGGCCCCCCCTTCCTCTCAAGTCCTGCTGGGCATTATATTATTAATGACATATATTTAAGAACCGTCTCAAGGCCCCAAGTCAGAATCCCCCCCTCCAGCCCAGCTGCCTCCTCTTGAACCTACCCCTCCCACTCCAGACCCTTCCTTCCTTCTTTCCCTCCTTCCTTCTCTTCCCTTTGTTTCTTCCTTCCAACCTTCCCTCCATCTTCCTCCCTACCTCCTTTCTTCCACCCACCCTCCCATCCCTCCTTCCTTCCTCCCTTTTCCTCCATTTCTTCTTGATTTCCTTCCTTCCTTCCAGCCATCCTTCCTCCTGCTTGGCCATCGTCCAGACGGGGCAGGGGCGGTCGGTCCTCCCAGCTGGGCCAGCATTCCTGGGCAGGGGAGCCAGGTAGCTGGTGGGCCAACCCTCCCTCGACCCCTCCCTGGCAGTAGCCAGAAGAAGACCCTTCCTCAGTCCACAGGCTGCTGGAGTGGGCTTCCCTTTGCAGCCGAGGATTTTCGGGGGTCCTATCGCCCCCCCCCCCCCATCCTGCTGGAGATCAACCCAGCCAGCCCAGCCCCCTCAGGAGACAGGAGTCCAGTTCGGGCAGACCCCCCCCCGCCTTCCGGGGCTGCTCTGCGCCAGGCGGGGGGGGGGGAGCCTCGCTTGGGCGGAGGGGGCTTCAGGCAGCCACGATCCTCCAAGGAGCCGCCGGTCTTTGGGGAAAAGCGGCGTCGGGCCAGCCAACGACTGCAGCTCCCGCCCGCGATCTTCCCAAGGGGACGAGGGGGGCGCTCACGGGCGTCTTCGGAGGCCCCTCCCCGGGACACGGGGGCGGCGGAGAGGGAGCCGGCTGGGCTGGAGCTTCTCCTCCCGGGACGCCCCTCCTGCCTCCCCGGGCGACCCCCGACCCCAGGGCAGCCCCCGAGCTCACCGACCGGACGGGGAGCCTGCTCGGTCCGCGCGGGAGGAGGAGGAGGAGGAGGAGGAGCCCGGTCGCCGCGGCCCCTTCCTGCCTTCCTCGCCAGGCGGCGGCGGCGGCGGCCCTCCTGTAACCGGACACCCGGCGGGGACGAGGAAGCGGGCGGCGCTTCCAGCCCTTCCCCCGGTTCTCGGGCGGCCCCGGCGACCCCTCCCCGGTCCGTCCAGCCCCTCAGGCGGCTGGCGCGGCTCCCGTCGTCCGCTTCGCCTTCTCCGGCGGGAGGCGGGAGCGGCTGCCTTGAGGCGGGCTTGAAAGATCGCGGGGCCCTTCCGGGGCCTCGGCCTCTTTGCCCTCTTAGGGTGCCCGCTGCGGGAAAAAGCTTTTCTGCCCAGGACTCCGCAGCCCGTTTGCCCGGAGGACGGATCGGCCCACCCGCCCTTTGCGCCTCCGCCACGTCGCTCTTCGCCCGGCCCGCCCCTTCCCCATTTTGCGCCCAGACCCTTCCCCGGCCGGCCGGGAGGGGGGCTTCTCCCTTTGCGCCCAGCCCTGCGCGGGTCCCGCGAGCAAACCGCCGCCGCCGCCGCCGCCTCTCCCGTTGCCTTCCGCCGGCCTTTGCGCGCGGCGGCCCCAGGATTCCGCCCAACCGTCGCGCAGGCCTTGTCTCCGCCCGCGGGCGCTTCGGCTCCCTCCCTCGCCCGCCCGCCGCGCCTGTCTTGTTTTAGGCTCCCAGGAGGAAAGAGACGCGCGCAAAGCCACGTTCCGTTCATTGTCAATTTGTAGGCGAACAACAAACCTAGTTAAATGGTGGCTTGAGCAGGTTTCCCGGTGGCAGAGGCCAAGCGAGGGCTGGCAACAGGGACACGCCCCCTGCCTGGCATGAGAAGGGCAGAACTGGGGCGCTGGCAGCTGCTCTGCTGCGAAACGTGCGGCTGCTGCAGGCAGGAACAAGGAGGCTGTCCAGCCAGGCCCCCTGCGCTATAAATAGAGACCGGAATTTGGGTGAGAGGGCGCCGGGCCCAGAGGAGGGGAGGGCAGCTGCTGGCCTGGGCTGCCCCCAACCCCTCTCCTCTCCCAGCCTCTCTGGTCAGGTGACTGCTACCCTCCAGCCCCCTCTTTCCAAAGAGCTCAGCCGGGATTTGGTGGGTTGTCGGAAGTGCAGCTGGGGGCGCAGGAGACCCAGCCTCTAAATGGGGGCAAAAGGCTCTGGACACAGCCCCGGGGGGGGGGGGGGGGGGGGCTGAGATTGTGGCACACACCAGGCCCCCAATAACCACCCCACACGACTGCAGTTGGCTGTGGGGTGTGTGTGTGTGAATGCGGCCACTGGGCCTTTCCCTTTGCAGCTGGTGGCCGCAGGAGCCCCTGGTCCCACAAAGGCCCCGCCAGCCCTGGCCTGAGTGGAGCCCTGGCCTGGGGGGGGGGGGGGGGGGGTTGGACCCCCCCCCCCCCCCCGGGGGAGAACAACAGAAATGAAACAAGAACGGAGGAGCAGCAGCAGCAAATGGAGAAGAGACGAAAGGCAGGAGATCGGAAGTCCTCTACTTACAGCCATTCATTTAGTGGCCGAAGTTACAACAGCATTGGAAAAAGTGACTTATGACCGTTCTTCACACTTACGACCATTGCAGTATCTCCACAGTCACCGGATCAGCATTTGGGCGCTTGGCAACTGACTCATACTTAGGACGCTCCTGGGGCCACCTGATCCCCTTTTGCGACCACCTTACAAGCAAAGTCCATGGAGGGGAAGCCGGATTCACTTAACCACCAGACTCAACAACTGTGTTGATTCACTTAACAGCGGTGGCAAGGAAGGTTGTAAAAGGGGACAAGGCTCACTTCCTACTCACAGCCTCCCTTAGTAACGGAAATTCGGAGCTCGGTGTGGGCCAGAAGGGTGGAAATCCTGCGTCCAAAGTGGGCTCGGAGGTTGGAGAAGCTCCAACCAGAACTCCAGAACTGGGCCGGAAGTAGCTCTGGGAAGGTCCTTTGTAGTTTTGGACGGTGGACATGGGACTGGTTGCTAAGTGAGGACTACCTGGATCTCCCCTGCAATCATCCAGCCAATTTTCCCCATCACGTGGCCCTTCGGCGTCTTTGGTCCACTGAGAACAGAACGGAATAAGAATAATTGGATGGGACCTCGGAGGTCTTCTAGTCCAACCCTCTGCTCAGGCAGGAGGCCCTAGATATCATTTCTGCTCCATCGATTGATTGCTGTCACTCTTAGGAAGTTTCTCCTTAGTCTTGAGTGGCTTCTCTCCTTGCGGAGGTTCCACCTGTTGCTCCTTGTCTGCCTTCTGGTGCTCTGGGGAACAGGTGGACTCCCCTCCTCAAATACGGGGACAGGGCTATCAGGTCCGCCCCAGTCCTCCTCGTTAAATTAGTCGTGCCCAGATCCTGCAACTGTTGTTCTTCGTACATTTTAGCCTCCAGCCCCCTTAATCATTTCTGTTGCTCTTCTCTGCACCCTTTCCAGAGTCTCCACCTCTTTTTGGTGTCGTGGAGACCCGAGGGGGACGCAGGATTCCAGGTGTGGCCTTCCGGGGGCTTCGTAAAGCTCACTAGAACGCCACGCGGCCTTGACCCGGCCCCCCTGGTCAGTGCATTGAACTGCAGTGGCAATCGGCTCTCTTTGTCCGAAGGCCCTGCTGAGGGGGAACACCCTCCACCAGTTCTCCCACCAGCGGGGGGGGGGGGGGGTTATGTCCACCTTGGGGGCTGAGGGCAGACTTGCAGCCTCTGGTTATTATTACCACCTTTATGTACAACCTGTGTCCAATGAGGTGGGCTGAGCCTCCTTTCATGCACCCCCCGAACACAACTCACAGGGAGGACAGAAGGCCCTGACCCAGTCAACCAACCTTACTACACTAGGTGACCTTGTTGCACAACGTGCCGGCCCCACAAGTCCATCCTCCTATGTTGACGTGGAGTTACTTTCCCTTCAGGAGTCTGACAGCCACGAGGAGAAACTGTTCTTCAGCCTGTTGGTGCGGCTGGCTCTGCTTCTCTGTCTCCTTCCCGATGGCAGGAGAGCGAAGAAGGGCTGACCGGGGTGTGAGTCGTCCCTGAGGATGTTCCTCACTCTTCTAAGGCAGCGAGTCCTAGCGAGGTCATCTAGCAGTGTCAAGGAACATCCCATGATGTTTTGTGCTGAGCTCACCACCCTCTGTAGTGTCTTTCTATCCATGGCTGTCAAGCCAGCATCCCACACCGTGTATTTGTTAGCACAACCCCGGGATGTGTTGTAGGGCAGTGATCCCCAACCTTTTTGACGCCGCGGCCCGGTACCAGCATCAGCTGGGCGCCGCGGCCCGGTACCGGCATCAGCTGGGCGCCGCCATCTTTTTTTGATGAAAACATGCTTCCGGTGAGCTTTCTACCCGGAAAAGCTCACCGGAAGCGCTGGCGCCGCCATCTTTTTTTGATGAAAACGTGCTTCCGGTGAGCTTTCTACCCGGAAAAGCTCACCGGAAGCACTTTTTCATGAAAAAAAAGATGGCGTCGCCCAGCAAGCCGCGGACCGGTAGGAGTTGTTCCGCGGACCGGTATCGGTCCGCGGACCGGTGGTTGGGGACCCCTGTTGTAGGGACTTTGTCAACCCACTCCCTATCTGAGCATAGGGCTGACCAGTCTTCTTCAGGTGACTCGGTCAGCCCGCCCCGGACCTCGGAGTCCACCTCTGAAGCCCCCTAAGGAGGAATTGGCCCTCCTTCCCCCCCTCACCCCGGGAATCAGACCCACCTCATCCCCAGGTATTGCAGCAATCTCTCTGCTGGCTTAGCGGAGACACAAGGGTTGCACGCTGGCTGGGGAATGCTGGGAGTTGAAGTCCACCCATCCCAAAGTGGCTGAGATTTAAAAGGGCATCCCTGGGGCTTCCTTCCTTCATGGCCGTGCCCTGCCAGCCACTCCCGCCCGCGTCCTTGGAGAAAACTGTGTGCTCAGGGCTTCAGCAGGAGGCGGGTTCGCCTTTGGCGGCTGTTTACAGAAAGCTCAGGGGCAGATTTAGGGAAGGCCAGGCGGCCTTTATTCCGCTTGACGCCCAGCAAATGCTCCCGAAATTGGGCTCCTAGGATCAGGCAGAAGGTGGCTGTAAAATTAGGAATCCGATTGGGGGAAGAGATCTCTGGGGCCTCCAGAGAGATTCCCCTCACCAGATCCCTTTTCTCCCGTCCCTTCAAGACCATCAGGCTTTGTAAACGCCCAGCAGCCTCCACTATTCCTTCTAGGGCCTTGCCAGCCAGGGGGAAAAGGGTGAGGCTGGGGGCTGGGCAGGCGTATAGCCCTCTGGAGGGCACCAGAGCTGGGCTGGCCGATCCCTGGAGGGCGGCTGGGGAGGGTGACAGGATAAACAGCGGTGGACTAACCAGGGTGGCTCACCTTGGCTGGAATAGGGACATGAACGGGGACCCTCGGGTGGAAAAACACCCCTCGCCAGGGGTTTGCAGCCGGCCTCCTCTGGCCCTCCCACTCTGGCCCTCGCTGGAGAGCTGGCGGGAGCCGAACTGAGCTGGCATTCAGCTCACCCCTGGGTGCCTTAATCTCCACCCGAGTCCGTCTCTCCCTGGAATCTGGCCCTGGGAAATGAGCCAGGGCATCTCTTGATCCACTCAGCCCTCTGGGCGGCCAGATCCTCCCACCCCCAGGTCCAGTTTGCAGTCCAGCCTTGGTTCTTCTTGTGTACGGAGAGGGGAGCAATTGGCTGCCCTGCCTGAGGGATGCTGCTGTTGCTGCTGGACCACAAATGCAAGACCCTCCCCTCCCCCCCCCTCCGCCTTTTTCAAGAGGCTGAACGGGTGAAGCCCCCCCAGAATCGCCTCCAATGGGGAGGTTCATTATCCATTCATAAATAAAACACTCAGGCTGAAATGCAGCTTTCTACAAATGAGCGTATTTTATTTTGTGCCGTATTCTGACCGAGAGTGCAAAGCATCCATCCACGGCTGTATCTCACTGCTCCAGGGATGAGCTGCCCCGAAAACGGACAGCAGGAAACCTCGGGGGGGGGGGGGGCATCGGAGTCCTCCATGTTGGACATCTCGTTGATTTATTAGCCCAGAATAAGATCAGCGACCCAAAACGGGAACCAAAGCCAAGTTTTCCATGCTTTCTGGAACCGAGCCCCCCGCCCCCCGAGGCAGGGGAGGGGCCCCCCAAGAGAGAAGCAAGGCTTCCCGAGTCCCACCGGGTGGCAGCGCTTCATGGGGTGGGGGTGGGGAAGGACTTGGCGTGTATCCCCTGCAGAAATGGCCCCCCAGCTCTGGCCTGCAGAGTTTGGGAGGCAATAACCAGCCCTTGGGCGCCGGCTGGCAGCTGGCACAGCTCACCTCCCAGTGGCGACCGAGGGGCACACAGGAGATACCCATGAGCCTCTGCAGCACAGCTGGGTTGGTCTTCAAGGGCAGCCCCATTTAGGGGGAAGTACTCTGACTGTGAGGCGACCAGGGTGTGAGTGACGGAAGGGAAGGCAGAGGGTGCAACTGGCGCACAGGATGAAAAGCGCAAAGGCTCGTCTAGTGGCAGAAGGGAACCCCCCCACCCAGCTGTACCCCAGTCTGGAGCGGGGAAATGCGGCCCCCTCCGAGGGTGGGGACATAGCTGGGCGAGGGGGGGGGCATCATACTGTCAGGTGTGGGCAACCAGAGCCACACAAAGGGGCGAAGGTCACAGGTGGCCTGGCTGTCCGCTTGCACTGGCGGAGCCTCCACCCGGAAGGCAGCCCTCGCCCAGCGGTTCCATGCAGGTGCTGGGCAGGGGAGGACGGAGCCCGGAGCCCCGAGGCAGCCCAGGCGTGAGAGGCCCCGTGCACCATACCCCTCCCGCCTGCCAACCTGGGCTGCCCCCGAGGAAGGCATGGACCCCCCACCCCCAATG